ACACACACACACACACACACACACACACACACACACACACACTCACACACCTTTCCCAGTATGAATCTGTCATGTTGTGCCCAGTGCTGTTTCTTAGTGTTTTGTGCTGATAGTGAGATTGTCTAATTTCCTCTCCAATACCATGATGCCTAGATTGCACATTTAAGGACCAAATGTTTATTTTTATTTGTTCTCACAGCTTTAGCTTTTGAGAAAAAGGAAATAATAGTCTATAATGATACATACAATGACATATGTGACCCTGGAGCACAAAAGCAGTGTTAAGTCGCTGGGGTATATTTGTAGCAATAGCCAACAATACATTGTATGGGTCAAAATTATAGATTTTTCTTTTATGCCAAAAATCATTAGGATATTAAGTAAAGATCATGTTCCATGAAGATATTTTGTAAATGTCCTACCGTAAATATATCAAAACTTAATTTTTGATTAGTAATATGCATTGCTAAGAACTTCATTTGAACAACTTTAAAGATGATTTTCTCAATATTTAGATTATTTTTGCACCCTCAGATTCCAGATTTTCAAATAGTTGTATCTCGGCCAAATATTGTCCTCCTAACAAATCATACATCAATGGAAAGCTTATTTATTCAGCTTTCAGATGATGCATAAATCTCAATTTCGAAAAATTGACCCTTATGACTGGTTTTGTGCTCCAGGGACACATATAAAGGCCAATTCACACTGCACTGACAGACACTGACAAAACGCAACAGACACTTTAGTCAGGTTTGGTTGGATCAGTGTGTTACTCCTGTCAGTGGTCGGCGCTTGTTTTAACTGCTTGAACATGTCTTAGAATGTCTGAGAAGTGACGTACTGTACTTGGTCATCTGTCGGCGTTGGTCTGCGTCTGTCAGTGCGGTGTGAACTGGCCTTAAGAGAAGTAATGATGAACATGTGACAAATGATTTTTGCCAAATCAGAATAAAGTGAATTTAGAATCAGTTTTCTGTATCTGTTTGTTAACACACACACACACACACACACTAACGATACATAATTCTGAATGTACCATTTGTAACATACAGGTTCAGTTGCTGGTCTCTCTATGTGTGTGTGTGTGTGTGTGTGTGTGTGTGTGTGTGTGTGTGTGTGTGAGAGAGAGAGAGAGAGAGAGAGTGTGTGTGTGTGTGTGTTGTGTGTGTGTGTGTGTGTGGTGCTGCACAGCTGCATCTCATCAGGGGCCGGTGGCTCGTTTGCTCCTGACAGCGTAATGAAGCTCTGTTCTCTTATAACAGTGTTGATGATCAGTGAGGAACGCAGCAACAGCTCTGTTTATTCATAGTACGAAGCAGAGCACTTATAGTGTGTGTGAGAGAATCCGGGAACAGTGAAGCTCGTATCTCTAGCAGAGCAGCTTACTGTGGTTCTGCTATTAATGGAACGTTTACTTTGATGCATGCGTCAGATTTTTGTGTTCCACAGAAGAAAGTAAGTCGTGGAGGTTTGGAGTCACATGAGGGAGACTAAACGAGGACAGAATGATCATTTTTGAATGAACTGTCACTTTAACAGTCAAGACTGATATTTATCTTCACACAGGAAACTGAAGATCACACGCTTTGCATTGTGGGATTCCGTATAGTGTTCTCTGTTGTTTTAGATTACAGGTTTTGAAATGCATTTGGAGAAAATTGCTTTAGCTAAAAACTGTATGCATGAAGAATTTCAGAATCAGAATGAGCTTTATTCACAAAGAATGTGTTGTGTTTTTTATGAGCTCTTGGTACAAACATACCAACTCAGGGGTTCCTGAGTTGTTGAAACGCTAATAATCAAAATGACTATAAATAAATGATAAAAATGAATAATAATTAAGATTGTCAAAATAAAAGTCTTGCTAAAAAGGCTGAAATAATGCATTTGTTTGCTGTACTGTACGTCGTGGGAAGATTAACCGACATCAGAAAACCATGAACATGCGAATGTGTTGATAAATTACTGAAATATTAAAATCTGCTATATTTCAGCTCAAATGGGATCAGCTGACAAGAGCTTGTGAACGTCAGTGTCCAATAATATCCACTAGATGGCGCTCACAGCGCATTTACTGCCAGCATCAGGGACCGTTCAGCGAGATTAGCCAACATATGAACATGTAGAGCTTTTAAAATGATCATCACGTGAAGCAGTTCTGTCTCATGTTTGCACACACCTGATGGAGATCATCAGAGAGACACGGAGAAAGTGCTGATCCAGGACCAGCTCAGAGACACTCCAACACACCTGCATTTGATGCATCAGGCTGTTAGGGCCATATCGTGAGAATGTGGAGGAAAAAACAGCTCGGTTTTATTCAGACTCAAACCGAGCACAAATATGAATTTGCTGCAGATGCTGAATTTAAGTGGACAAAAGGTAAAGGAGAGAGACTCTAACACACCTGTGTGGAGATGTGAAGGTGTGTGACCACGCGTGTCTCAGTTCTGGCTGATGTGGATGTTGCTGCTGTAATCCCTTTCAGTGCTTCACACACACACACACACACACACACACACTGAACCACATCAAAGCGGAAGTCAGTGAATATGAGTGAGTGAGCTGTTAAACACTAACCTCATCCTGACACACTCCTTCATTTCTCATGCATCTGCTCTAGTCTTGTATCAGCAGACGCTTTACCTGCTCGTGCACGAGCCAAACTTACATTAAATGACATAAGTTATGATAGCAGCATCACACACACACATACTGTGGTTCTGCTATTAATGGAACGTTTACTTTGATGCATGCGTCAGATTTTTGTGTTCCACAGAAGAAAGTAAGTCGTGGAGGTTTGGAGTCACATGAGGGAGACTAAACGAGGACAGAATGATCATTTTTGAATGAACTGTCACTTTAACAGTCAAGACTGATATTTATCTTCACACAGGAAACTGAAGATCACACGCTTTGCATTGTGGGATTCCGTATAGTGTTCTCTGTTGTTTTAGATTACAGGTTTTGAAATGCATTTGGAGAAAATTGCTTTAGCTAAAAACTGTATGCATGAAGAATTTCAGAATCAGAATGAGCTTTATTCACAAAGAATGTGTTGTGTTTTTTATGAGCTCTTGGTACAAACATACATGCATGCATATACAACACTGACAACAGAAAGAACATTTACATAATAATAATGTGGTATACATCTGAAACAGAAGCTTTATGTACAGATTTGTGCATTATTTACTGTATGTACAGCTGTATAACAATATGTATTTACATAATTTCTACCTATTTTCTCTTGGTGCTGCTAGATAAGGCCTTTATCCAGTTTCTGGATCTTTCTAACCAAACTACAGAAAGGGTTTGAGATAGATAGATAGATAGATAGAGTCAGGTTATAGATAGATAGATAGATATGTGAATGTAAATATTTCAATCACTGGGGTTCCTGAGTTGTTGAAACGCTAATAATCAAAATGACTATAAATAAATGATAAAAATGAATAATAATTAAGATTGTCAAAATAAAAGTCTTGCTAAAAAGGCTGAAATAATGCATTTGTTTGCTGTACTGTACGTCGTGGGAAGATTAACCGACATCAGAAAACCATGAACATGCGAATGTGTTGATAAATTACTGAAATATTAAAATCTGCTATATTTCAGCTCAAATGGGATCAGCTGACAAGAGCTTGTGAACGTCAGTGTCCAATAATATCCACTAGATGGCGCTCACAGCGCATTTACTGCCAGCATCAGGGACCGTTCAGCGAGATTAGCCAACATATGAACATGTAGAGCTTTTAAAATGATCATCACGTGAAGCAGTTCTGTCTCATGTTTGCAC